CATCGATTTCCGCTATTTTTTGGACACCCAATGCGCCTTTAAAGTCAAAAAAACCAAGTTGAGAAATCCTATTCATGTTTATACTTATTTTGAAGCTCTTGCAATATCACTTCCAAATCAATAAACATTGTTTGGCAAAAATAAAAAATTCTCAAGTTATGAGAGATTTCGAATTTCGAAAAAAATACTGAAACCTTCTTTGGATCATAACTTGGTTGTTATTCAAAATTTCAACATTCTTTTAAAGTTTCGGAATTAGCTTTGTCAGGGCTTCAAAATAAGTATAATCATGACCTACTTTCCTTCAATTTCGATGTTCGGGACCCCTATGCGCCTTTAAGGTCAAATTTCAAAGTGGGTGGAACCTAGTCATGATTATACTCATTTTGAAGCTCTTAACCTACTTAATACAAAAACAACAATAATTTCCAAAAATTCCAGGTCCGTGTCTGGCTAGACGACCATGAACATGATCTGAATGTCGGAGACGATCACGCCTTCTCCCTACTCCACTGGGCCTCCAAAGCCGGTCACATTGGAATTGCAGAAATGCTGTTGTCCCGTGGAGCACGAGTGAATTCGACGAATATGGGAGATGATACGAGTCTCCATTTGGCCGCCGCTCATGGACACAGACAGATTGTCGTTAAACTTTTATCGAGGAAGGCTGATGTACACGCGACAAACGAGCATGGAATGACACCACTTCATTATGCATGCTTCTGGGGTTATGAGGCGATTGCTGAGGTCTGTTTTCAAATTTAAAATATAGCTCTTGACTAGTACTTCAAAATGATGGTATTCTCAAAATCGTAGCTAGTGTTTAAAGGAAGTTACAAGCGTTTTATGCCGTACAAGCTTTATGACCCATAACTTCTTTCAAAATCAATTTTTGAAATTTCAGTAAACATTTTCGAATTTCACTAGCTTTGAGCTTCAAAATGAGTATAAACACGACCATATTTGAAAAAGTTTGAAATTTGACTTTAAAGGGGTCCGAAAAGTCCAAAAAATCTAGTTTGAGGAATCTAGGTTGTAATTATACTTATTTTAAAGCTTTTGATGAGGCCTGTTGAGCACCATAAGCCAAGTTTGAAATTTAGATCTACAACTAAGTTATGAGCATTTTTATTTTCGAAAACACAAAAACGGCCATAACTTGGTAATTTCTGATTTTTGCCAAAATATTTGTTTTGATTTAAGTTTAGTATGTTAAGAGCTTCCAAACGAGTATAAACATGACTAGGCTACGACCATTTTGAAATTTGACAAAATTTGACTTTAAAGGCGGATGGGGGTCCCGAAAAATGAAATTTATGGAAAGTAGGGCATGATTATACTCATTTTAAAGCACGCAACAAGGCAAATACAAAAAAACTTAATTTCAAATCAAAAATTCAAAAATTTAAAAAGTTACGAACATTTTTCTTTTTCAGGACCTCATTATCTACGGAGCCTTGGTGAACGTGTGCAACAAGAAGGGTCTTACCCCATTGGACGTTTGCCAACCAGCATGCAAAAATGCCATTATGGGTGAGTAAAAAATATATAAATCAAAAAATTTGATCTAATTTTTAAGGTTTTGCTACTTTTCAAGACTTTTAAAGTCGAAAAATTGTGTTTTCTGGCATTTTCGAAATTTTCCCATTATTAAAACTAGATATTTTTACAGAAATTGCCCTCGAGCACGGACAATCACCAAATGAGCAAATTCCATTCAAGGATACGACATGGAAGGGTACAAAATCGCGTACCAGAGACGCCACTCTATCCAGATACACTGGAGTTGATGTGTCGGCGTTGAATTTGATCACTAAGGTAAGGGAATTTTGAAATTTGAGTAGAATATTTGAATTTGGCTCGTTGAGAGCTTTGAAATGAGTATAAACATGCCTATATTTGTTACACTTTGAATTTTCAAGTTTAAAAAATCGAAATTAAAGGAAAGTAGGTCATAATTATACTCATTTTGAAGCTAAAGCCACACTAAATTCTAATATCTAAATTCGAATTATTTTAAACATCATTTACCCAAGTTATGATTGATTTTCATTTTTAGGCTGTTCGGACCAGGTTTACAAAACTATCGTAACTTTATCTATTTCTGCCAGAACTGATTTTTCTTTTCAGAAATGAATCTGAAACGTTGTGAGCTGCAAAATAAGTATGAACATGCC